TGAAATTCAGAACTTTAATTAAATAAAGTTTCTATTTATGAATGAAGTTATCTTCCTTTTTCCTTCTAATTATTCTAAATTTCTTAATTTTGATTGGATCAATTTATATGTGCATTTTAAGAAAATTACATGTATTTTAAAGAATTTAAGATGAATCCATTAAAATGGGATTAAATTTTTAGTGCTACTAAAAATTAATTGCTGATAGGCTGTTAAAACATTCAACAATCAAAGTGACTGTTTTCACCTAGATCTTTTCACTAGTCAAGTTAATTAATTTATCTCGAATATTTACAACTCAGCAAAGAGGCATTGAAATTAGTGAGCTTACTTACCATTCTGGGGGTATTTGACTGCCATCATAATTAAAATTAGCTTTATCGGCAAATCTCACCCAACGGTTTTTACCTGAAAACATAAAAAAAAATAAACTTGAATATCATTGTTTCAAGTGCAAACACAGATTTAGGCAAAATGAACAACACAACAAGAAAAAAAAAACTTCTTTCCAGTCAAAAGTTACAAAGTTAAACCAGTCACATTTTCCATTTACATGTATAATTTATATTAATACCTACCAAAGAAATATCTATTGTTTTCATAGTATCTGTTACCAAACTTATCCACACCTTTCAGGGTACCTATTTTCAGATCATCAGTCCTATAATACAACAAAGGAAAAGTTATTTAAGATTGCAACCGTCATGGTAGCTTACTTAGTATAGAGCACTATTTCTATGATTGGAAGGTACTCTGTTTGAATCATGACCAGGACTGTCCTAAAACAAGTCATTCAGTAGGTACCAATTAACCAATAAATGCCGACTTTTCCGATTTTTTCGGGAGTCTACCAATTTCAAACCTTGTCTACCGCTTGTCTATCGATTTATTCCCCCCCCCCCCCCACAATTTCTACCGATTTTTTGAAAATCCAGCTTTTTTACAAATTCGCTTTGAAAAATACAGTATTTCAGTTTGCAGAAAACATGGCTGTTTCAATTAATCGGTAGGGTATCTGTTTATTGCCGCTGATAATAGACAATCAACAAGGTGTCAACTGTGCTACCAGTTATTAAAGTGGTTTTAATTGCTCTTGATTATCATTAACAGTGTATATTAACCTAGACAATTATGCCAGATGTGGAAATTTTAGAAATACACATGACAGGATACAAATTGACAAACTTGTAAGAGTTCATACTTTGAGAATATACATATAAACCGTTAATTAAAGTTTTTCAAATTTTGGAAATATGGCATTCCTCATTAAATCATGATCTACTTCATGGAAAATACACTGTCAAAATCCAACATGAAAAGATGTGCCTGCAAGTACAAACCATTAGGAGTGATTCGATCAGAAAAAGAAAGGAAAAAACCATGCATTTTGCAGATTTTGAATGAAAAATTTAAAAATGACTTCTTAAATATTCCCTCTGATTTAAATAAAATAATCATGTGTCTGTGACAGTAGCCTTAGTGCTTACATGTATAAACTTTGTAATTTACCAACAGACATTTATGAACAATAACCACATGGTAACCGTAACTGCATAAACTTAACTTGCTTCAGCTTATTTGTAAAGTTTAACATTCTTATTCACGTAACAATCTGTTTGTGTATCTAGTTCTTTAAGGCAGGAGGTTTGTTTATCTTAATATTAACATATTACATAATTTCGAATAAAATAGTCTTTTTTAAATTTCAAATGATATTGTATTTGTGCTTTTGTTGAAGTTGATAGAGAAGAAAATACTTTTTGAAGTAGTGATCATAATATATGATACAAGGGAGTAGACTGATACTGATATTTAAAAAAAGAACAACCTACAATTAGTTATTTTCATGACAAAACACCGCGAATTAGGAACTATGAAAAATGTCGTTACACACAATCTCCCCCAAGAAAATTTTCAAAAGTTGGCATGTATGCCAACCACAGACACTTGTTTAGTATTCCCCATTTTCAAAAGTGAGTTATCTCCCCTCAAAATCGGAACTCTTCTACGCTAGCCTAACTTCCGCGGACTACGCAATACGATAATCCAACAAAATAGTGATCAACTTACACGCTGAGCATGTATTTAGCTGTAAACAGGAATTGGCATTTTTTTTATAATAAATTATTTTATAAAGGGTCTGTCACTGCGCCCCAAAGTTTTTTAGAAAGCTATACGAATTAGCCAGGCACGTAGCATCAAATTTAAAAGTGGGGGGGGGAGCACCCCAAAATATTTTTTTTACCTGGAAAAGTTGACAAGCAAAGAAAAACCTTGCGCAAAGTTGAAAAAGCTACTTAATTATTTCAGTACCAGTTCCTTGGCATACAATACTACATTTCCCTTATATAACTTTACCGTAGTATTAAAAAAATATAATGAACATTTTAGAAAAAGTAATACTGGGAAAAAAGTGGGGGTGGGGCTAAGGAATATGAACTATAGTTGTGAAAATTAAAAATTATTAGAATTATTAATTGTGAATTCAATAAAATTACGGTACATATATTTTTTTCACAGATGTACATGTATGTCAGTTACACGGGGTTACACGAGTCTCTCTCTCTCTCTCTCTCTCTCTCTGATATTGTTTTTACACAATTTGTAAAAAAGAATTCATAAAAAAAAAAAAATTACTTATAAAAATAAATACATGTACTTATACTGAAAGGATTTTAAAAAAATAAATAACACTTGAGAAAAGAATGTTTTCCGTTAATTAACGAGAAATACGCTAGGAAATAATTGTATCAATTTCGTGTTTCTGTTCTCAATTCTCTGATCTAAAACAAAATATGTATTTTACTCGGGAATATACATGTACATATGCTTAGATCCTACAGTAAAACTTTGATTAAATGCAGCTCAGACTTTATACGACATATGTAACACGAATTCAGGTCAATGTCAATGCTATTTTAATTAGTCTTTCTTCGGTACATGAGGACTTGAGATTAAATTATTCATTTAGAATTCCATTCAAAGTTTTAATACTATATAGTGAATCAATTATTTTAAAAATAAAAAATTCTAGAAACACTGTTAATTCAAATGAAATAGGCCTTTAATTGTCACCAAATGTGTTCTTGTAAGTAAAAGTTCTATGTTTTGACATACAATCGAACAAAAACGCAGTTTCTTGGTATCGGTCGCGGAAGACGAACTACTGCTGTATATGCACCAATTTCAGAGGTAAAACTGTAGATGGACATGTCATCAGTCTCCAAAAAATTCCTAGAGATACAAAGAAAATATGGCTGCAACAGGCTAGATTAATTCGTAAAAACTTAATAACTAAAAACACATTTTGTAAATAATGATGATGCAGAACATCCACTACCGAAAATTAGCTTATTAGCTTTTTTTTTTAAGTAGGCCTATTCGAATATGTATTAGCATTTTATCAGTAATTTGTTTCGTTTTGTTTTCAATTGTTTTTTTTTTTTCCGGGGTGGGGGGGGGGGTGTCACACAGCACCTTATTATAGTACTACACAGAATTATACAAATGTAGAAAGAGACTATGAGTGGGCAATTTAAAAAAATACGAATCAGTTAAGATTTCTTTTTATTCACAAACACAATAACATTTTTCCATATGACAGAGGCATTACACCATTAACATGTTTACATCAAGAACGTCCGCGGAAGTGACTTTATTTACAGCGCATGCGTATTAAACACAGTAAAAGAGTTCCCTTCAGGGGAAATAACTCACCTTTTGAAAATGGGGAATAGGGGCAACCCTACTTATTTTTACCACAAGTAGGGGTGCCCCCTATATGAAACAAGTGCTTGTAATAACAACTACTACTACTAGGGCTGAGTATGAATATAGCTGTACCACAGGAATTGGCAGTTTTATCAATAAACCAATGTAAACGGGTGCTAGTCACTGCGCCCCAAAGTTTTTTACCTTCACCCAAGTACAAATATGAGCGCCCCAAATCTTAATCACGAGCACCCCAAACGTATTTCACCAGCGCCCCAAATTGATGATGAGGCTTAAATTAACTAGTAAAGAACCAAACTGTTGTCTTTGATGCGTAGATTAAAAAAATATAATATAGAATTGTAAACTAGCATTATATGAAGATAAATGTAAACGTACTAAACAAATGGAATTCATATTTATACAAGCATTCCCGAACCGTAATTTATTTTGATTCTTTAAATTTTTTGATTTATTCAGTGCTAATAAGGTAATGAGGTAATAACATATATCTTGTCTCAAGTATACAAATTAATACTTAGACGAGCAACTGCATGTGTATCTGTGACAATATTATTTGGGGCACTCGAAATGCTAATTTTTTAAGCCAATGGGGTACATTACAATAATACAATGTTTCTAACTCAAAATTTTTGGGGCAGTCACATTTTCAGATTTTGGGGCGATATGACAGTAACCCATGTAAACATATCTGTGAGCTTCGCTAGTGTAGTGAGGCTTGCTACGCTCGCGAAGCTCATAGGTCATGTTTACATTGGTTTTTTGATAAAACTGCCGACTCCTGTGGCTGTACCGATGTTACGGTACATTGCAATCTGTTGACAAAAAGTATGGAATTGCGATACACTTTTCACAGCGCAATGCAATATGTGAATATGACATTTTCTTTTAACATATATTTTTCTGTCACTAATGTCATATATTACAGGTTGTCTACGGAAGAATATTGGATAGTCGGCTAGATAAGACAGTCACAGCATATATTATATCCTATATCTTCAGGTCAGTTTTGTAATTAGAGGAAATTCGAGTCAGTGTTGTATATATCGTCAAAGTATCACCTGAACATAATTTATACTTACAGCCATAATATTCTTAATGAATTTAATATTCCCCCGTTTGCTTGGATTATTGACCGAAGCCTTGCAAACGACTCTAAAGCCGTAGGCATTATGCAGAGATCCAAGTTCGACAGACGGAGGTCGATTACCACTGGTTCTCTGCCCTTGATTCCAATTGCTTCCGGTACAGGGAACCAGTCTAGAAGAATGGCGGCCTCCATGAACTTTTGCCCAGGCGGTGCCGAATTTGATGATGATGATGAATTTGACGATGGTTTTATATTTGATGCAGAGGGAGTAAATGGCTTTCGTACATCTTCTTCGGACCATTCATTTTCGGTAAATTATTTCGTGGAAATTTACTCAGTATAGTTTACTAAATGCCTAACGTTTATATACATGTATTCCAACAGCTGATTGGCCCCAGTCAGTTATTTCTTCAGTATTTTTTAAGCCACTGTACAACAACAATACATTGTTTCTAACTTAAAATTTCATGGAGTACCCTTTTCAAAGAATCGCAATATTGATAATAATATACGAGAGAATAAATGGTAATCCGAGATTCCTCTGACTCTAACCCTTGCTTTTATATTGTGACTTGTACAGGGGAGAGTCAGAGCGGAGGCCATATTGAAAAGTGGGAATTCAGCGACACCAGCTGGTTGCAACTCTGCCTACCTCTTACAACTTTATTTTGCAGAGCTAATCCCGAGACGCGAGAAATTAGTAAAGAGATTATTTTTCTACAACTTCATTGCCATTAAACAGGTTGGGACCAATCGCCCAAATGGGATATAATAGGTAGTTTGAGATATAATATCCATCAATTTACAGTGCAAAAATTGAAAACCATTTTGGCAATTATATAAATGCATCAAAACACTTGAAAAGGAATAGCTTTTGGTAAGCAACTTTTTCTGCAACCCTACAGTTTGTAAGATTGATCCCCAAGAAGTTAAGGAACTTCCGAGGGATCAATCTCCTAAACAATGGGCAGACAGGAAAACTTGTCAACCAAAAGTTACTCCTTTTTAAGTGTCCTGATGCGGATTTATGATATTTATAGCCAAAATAAAAATTTTCAGTTATTGCACTGTAAAGAGAGATCATCCCAAAGAGATTATATCCCATTTTCTACAACTTAATTGCCATTAAAAGGATGCTACCACCATTTAAACGGCCCTATCACCGACAAATGAAGCATCACTTGAATTAGGTCACCTCCTCACCATTCGACTTCTTTGCGCATGAGGTCATCACACAAATACACAAAAAACTACCACGTGAAAATACGTCATGTGTGGTGTTAATGATGTTTTTTAACCTCATGTAAGCATAGACGTCGTATTTGAAAGTTGCTTTCCTTATCAATAAATAATTGAAGCATAATTATGTTGTTTTATATATTTTTTCACAATACTTTCATATTTTTCTGAAAGGTCCATACATGTTTTGAGCACTTTCAAACAGACTGGAATTTTGTGTATTTGTGAAAATTATTATTCTTGCAGAATGGGAACACAAACAATTATTCTGACAGAGGAGGTTTTGGAAGTCCATCCAAATCAAAGAAATCCAAGCCATTTAAAACAGAACAGTCTAAGATAAGGAGCAGGGAACCAGCTACAGTGGGCTCCGATGACTTCAGAATGGCTGTACTAAGGGGAAATCTTGATGCTGTCAAGAGTTTTATAGATCAAGGTTGTGAAGAAATTTTTTTCTGTCTTGTTTTGTTTATAATTTATGTATATCTAACAGCCTGGATATCAGATTAGGTTTCACTCTATCACAAAATACACTGATTCAGAATATGAAATGTTACAGGATATAATGTGAACACCGTTTTGAAGTGTGGATGGACTCCCTTGATGTATGCAGCCAGCTCAGCCCTACCTCATGTTGTCAAGTTCCTTCTGGATAATGGGGCAGATCCCCATAGTCATAAAGGTAAAATTAGTCAAAAAGGTAGAAATAACCATAAGGGTAAAAATAATCAAAAGGGTAGAAATAGTCTTTAAGGTAAAAATAGTCTTAATATAAAGGTAAAATTAGTCATAATTGTAAAATAAAAGTAGAGACAGTCATAAAGGTAAAAAAAAGTCTTAAAGGTAAAAATAGTCATAAAAAGGTAAAAATAGTCATAAAGATGAAAATAGTCATAAAGGTAAAAATAGCCATAAAGGAAAATAGTCATAAAGGTAAAAGTAGTCATGAACTTTAATTAGTTGTGAAGGTAAATCTGTGGTTGCCCAAGCATCTTGATGTCACAGATGAACTCAAGGCAAGACATTGTTTTTAAAATCAGTGCACATTCTTTTTTCAAGATAAAGGTTTTGAAGGAAAAAAATCTGACAGACAATTGATGTAATCTGGAGTTGATGATTTGTTTTAATTCCTTCAGACATGTACACTGTGTTAATGGCCGCCTGTGGGTCTACGGCCAGTAATGAGGAGGACATTCTACAGTGTGTGGGCTATCTGTTGGAGAAAGGAGTTAATATCAACGCTCATGACAGGTACCAATAATGTTAGGACTGAACGTCAGCAGGATACTTGTGTTGCAATGGACCCTTTTTTTTAAAACAGAATGGAGGTCAACCTATGATGACTAAATCAAGTTTAGACTTAGTATATTAAATATAAATCAAAGTAACATAATATATATAGTACAAATCAATTATTAACATTAAATTTTTGCAAAATATAAAGTATGGAAAAGCTAAAAGACAGACCAGATCTTTTATTTTAAAAAATTATATTTGGTTTTGTTGCTCAAGACTAGTTACCTTCCTTGCATTGCTTTGGAGTGAAAAACTTAAATAAGAAAAAGTTAAAAGTGATGCAGCGATTTTTTTCCACCCATTGGGAAAGAGTCCGGTACCGGTTCAATTGGGGAAAATAACATCGAAGAAGAACAATGAGAATTTTCTCTCATTTAATCAAATAAAATGTATTTTGCTTTTATTCCAACTAAATTACTACATGTTTTAAAGAATAAGCAACAAGTATTTATTGTTTTTTTATCAATTGCAATGTCCCATGTTTTCCACATTTTCATGATTTCAATTTGTCAAAATGTATGATACTACGCTTTTTACACCATGGGCCCCTCCAGATTACAATTTTCTCTACTTTTGATTTAAGCGGAAGAGAAACAATTAGTCATCTTGTACATTGTTTCATTTAAAAAGAAATACGATGTTGTCATAATCTGTTGCTTCACAGTTGAATTGGGAATTTTTGGTCACAGAATTGGGAAAAATTAACGTGTTTGGCATTGGAAACTTGCTTGTAAGGGTTGTCAGCAAGCCTTGGAGATTCCATATATTTGAAACACCAAATATTTGTTTATTCAAATCAGATTGTTAATTGAAAGTTCTTTTTTTTAATTCCTAATTGTTTATTTTTTAGGTACCACATGTCTCCATTAATTTATGCCTGTAGAGAAGGCAGAGCCAGAGTTGCCTCTAAACTCCTGGATAACAAGGCTAATATCAATAAACAAGACTCCAGGGGCTGGACGGTAAGTATAACAAGGCTAATATCAACAAACAAGACTCCAGGGGCTGGACGGTAAGTATAACAAGGCTAATATCAACAAACAAGATTCCAGGGGCTGGACGGTAAGTATAACAAGGCTAATATCAACAAACAAGACTCCAGGGGCTGGACGGTAAGTATAACAAGGCTAATATCAACAAACAAGACTCCAGGGGCTGGACCGTAAGTATAACAAGGCTAATATCAACAAACAAGACTCCAGGGGCTAACAAGGGACTCCAGGGGCTGGACCGTAAGTATAACAAGGCTAATATCAACAAACAAGACTCCAGGGGCTGGACCGTAAGTATACTGTTAGGGATTTATCTGGACATTAATACGCAGGATTTCAGGGTGAGGATCTTAAGATTAAATGGTGGAGGAGGGAGGAGGGTCCCAGGTCAACAGCATTTAAGATTTAAGGGAAATGTTGAGGTTGCTCCATAAAGTTGGAGTTGGGGATTCCCAAGACATCAACAAGCAGGATTCCAAGGGGGTGGATCATAAGAGTAAAGTGGGGAAAGGGGGATTGGGGGGTTAAGTGTTGGTGTAAGTGGAAAGAAGGATTTTTCTGATCCCCAAGTTATCTTTGATAGATTATAGTAACGATGTTAGTCCTTCAGGCATCTTCTAACTTGTTTTTTATACCCCCACCTTAAATCTGACTCAGGGCATATAGTGTTACTTTGTTCCGTCATTCTATCATTCCGTCATTTTTGTCTTTCCATCATTAACGTCTCATTCATTGTCTCAGTAATGATTTCACACAATCAAATTAAGTAGGGAGTTCATTTTTTAAATTGTCTCAAGAGGAGGACTATTGTAAGAGTAATGACCCTTGGACATGTTGTTTTTGGTTTCCACTATTGGTTTACATGACTGATTCTCATTCTGTATCATTTTTCAGTCACTAAGTTGGGCAGTGAGCAAGAATCACCAAGCCGTGGTGAGGGTGTTGATAGAAAGGGGAGCTGATAAAAACAAATTACAATGTGATGGGCAGACGGCATTAGATATGGCCATCGCTCAAGATCTCCAGACCGTAAGTTACATTACATTTACTAGTTTTATTGTTATTCTTTGCAGTGATTTTTTTTTTATTTTTCCCCCAGAATTTGAACTTGATCAAGTGTTTAAGATATTCTATACAACTTCAAATTTATTTTTTTCCCAAAGATTGTAAAATTACTTGGGGGAGACCCAGAAAATGGCAATAATTCAGCCACTCAGAATGCAGCATACACAACCACTAATGGATGGCCACCACAGTCTAATGATAATATCCCAGAAACAACTTCATCATCAAAAAGGTAAGTCATGTATGCAGATGGATGGAGCAGGGTGTTGCTTGGACAATATTTACTCCCTCAGTAATTGAGGATAACTGTAGAAATGGATGCAGCATATCCTGTGAGCATTTATTTAGGTCTTTGGGTTTTCCCGTAAAGAAGGTCAATAGATATAAATATTGAAGGGACACTATATATTTGCAAAATTATTGAGGGAAATCCCCCTCCTCCCTCAACTGTTTCCATGGCTATGATCTATGAAGACTTATATATCCTTTTTAAAGGTACATGTACTAGTCCCAATCAGCAGAGCTATTTTGGCCTCATGTCAAAGATGCCATCTGTGGTAACTTGATCTATATATTTTATCAGGGTTTTGTCTCAATCATTTAAGCATTGTTTTTGCTTTGTGACAGTGCTATAATCTATGGAGAGCTAGAACTGTTCTTGACTGGGCTGGGACTCAATCATCTAGTGCAGCTGTTCCAGGATCAGCACGTGGAGTTTGACATGTTCCTCAGGATGACTGATGAAGACTTGAGCAAGGTAAACAGAATTTGTAAGGATACATTTCACAAGAATTTATCTTTGGCAAACATTGCGTCAAATACAGTCAAACCTCATTATCTTGAACTCAGAGCTTCTAGATATCTGTGGATTTGAGATATTAAGGGTAAAAATAAATTAAAGAAAGAGTTTGTGGGATTTTCATATCTGATTGACATAATCATTTTAATTGAGGTATCATTGTTTGGGATAACAAAATTCAGCTACTGTGTGCTCGCGAAAATTATTAAAAAAATTCTCGCGTATAATAGTTTTCCTTAAGATTATATAGAGCAATAACCACAATTCGTTAAAATTTTGTCTTGCTAATCAAGAGTCAATGACTATCTTGCGAAAATAAGGTGTTGCGAAAGTTTAGTGATCTACAGTATATTGAAATAGCATGTATGAATTTCAATGAAAAGATTAATTTTTTAGATTTTTTTTTTTAAAAAACAAAACCAGTAATTGTAATCAAAAAGTTTGAACCAAAAAGTTTTTATTTCCAGAATTTATTTATTGTTAAAAGCTAAGTATGGATTTTTAACTTAATTCTCTAGATGGGGATTAACCAGATTGGGATCAGGAAGAAGATTCTAGACGGGATCCATGCTGTCCACACTCGGGATTGGGAGAAGGGAAGTCTGCCCTCAATACCAGTAAACAGGAAACTCAGGTAGCCATTGTTTGTGATGATCAAATTCAGATTTTTTTTCCATATTTCATAGGATAATGGTTACTGAGAGTAATTCTTTGAAACCAGTATACATAATAAAAAGTGTTTTAAATGAAGAAATAGGCAATACAGGTACAAAATGTATTTAAAGTCAAATTCTCTTCGAAATAATCTTTATGAAGATACCTCTTCTTCTAAAAATGTAATTGAGGTTTTTGGACTATATATGTCATTTGGTAAGGATAGTGTATTATGTTGTTGTACAGTGTATATAGGGATGATTTCCAGATTTGCTTCAATGATGCATGTACATAAGATATATGACCTTTGATTTACAGACAAGCTCATTTTATAGAAATGATATTCCCAACCCTGACCATACTTTTATGGATAATGGAATCCTCATATACAAACTAACTGCCTTGCTTTAGTGGCAGAAATTAATGTTTATTGTCAATAATTTAATTTCAAGGTCCATAATGGTGAACTAATTTATAATAAATGAATCTTACTGAAAATTACAATGGGAAATTGTTTTTTATATCTTAGGCCTAGATAAATAAAGTGTGTGTTTCCAGTTCCCTGACTGACCTAAAATATAGAAGGCTACCCTAAAAAATTTTTCTGTTAATATTTTTCCAAGAGTAAACTCTTCCAACTTTACTATTTGCAATCTTAATCCTGTTGATTACTTCCTCCTTTGTGAAAATGCATATCATACATTAATCAGAAATATTTTGACAGCAACATCCCTGGAGAAAAGGGGCAGCGTGCTTGCCAATAATTTTTTTGAAAGAAAATAAAAGGTTTTCCCTACCAACCCTATGTTTTCTCAAGTTGGAATAGGAAACACACTATTTATTTATCTTGGCCTCATTAATATTTCAAAGGTAAAATTTATTGACCTTGATATTTTTTGATAACCTTTGTCTAATTTTGATTGCAGATGTGTTGAAGCAGTTGCCATTGCAGCCAACATTTGTAAACACACTAAATACCTGTCCAGTACTATAGGTTACATTGCTGACCAAGTGACCGTGAACTCTTCTGTGCTGGAGGTCCAGGTAGCATATAATTTGTACTATATGACAGTGCTACCTTTTCTTATCAAGTGGTTTCAAAGCTATTGCATATATCTGTATTTGTACATAATCTCAAGTTCTGTATTTTCTTCCTGAGAAAATGTTTATAGAGGGTAAAATTATGGTTTCATTTAGTACATACAAGAGGCAAGAATACTAACAAAATTTTCCTATTTATAAAGTAAGAGGCATTTGAAAATACACTGATAAACTAATTGGAGGGTAGGGTTGAAGATCTAGACTTTGGAGTGTTCCATCTAATTCTACTCTCCACCATGTAAGGTCTGCCTATCGGCAGGGTTAATAAAATCCCTATGAGAAAGATAGATGCTCTAATGGACTCACTATAGAGGAGAATTAAGGCTGTAATTTAATGATAATCAGAATTTTTATTTACACTTTTGGGGGATACATACCATTAAATGAACTTCAATAACACATGAGTTGTCAGTCAAAATTGCATAAGAATTTGGTAACTTGTTCATTAGTTTGAATGATTGATAACAATACTGGAAAATATGTTTGAAAAAATAGCAGTAATTTACAGTATTAAATTTTGATAGGATGGTTCAACTCCCAAACAGCTCCAGAAGCTATGTGAAGAGACTCAAGCAAATGCTGTGATGTTAGAGAAAGAACTGGAGAGATTGTCGTCAAGGTTAAAGAAGGTGAGGAAACAATTCAAAATCGGGGGTTTATCAATTCAGGCATGCAGAATATCAGTGTTATTTTTATAGCAGATACTTGTACAGGAAAAATTCAGTGATAAAATGATTAAAATTGTGGACAGCTGCTAGCAGGGTTATATATCATTTGTACTGTAATCACTCCTACATGTACAGTTTTCAAGATATGTGAAGTTTTAATATATATTGCAGATTAATTGTACACTTTTTTGTGAATTAATGAGATAATTCCTGAATGTATTCATTCTAATCTCAAGTATTGTCATAGAATTTTACATTTAGCAAAAGATGTGCATGGTACTTAGACTGTTAGTTTTGATCATAACATGTATAATATAGGGGTAAGACCAGTTGTCAAACAATCATTATTATGTTCATAGGGTACATTAATATTATTAGGGTATCATTTTCCAAAGTTTTCAGAGTAAAAAGATTTTACAATGTATGTAAGAATTTCAGTTCTAACTGATCTAGATCTCGTAAAAGCAAACCCAGTTCTTTGTCAGATTGACAGTTTTGCCCTTATCATTCTATGAACAGATGCTTGAGAATAAAGAATGAATGAAAATAATTGGGACTAAAAGGCCTGATCAAATGCAATGAAAGGTCGAAACTATTTGCAGAACTTTAGCTCTCTGGTTGAAAAATTTCAGGCAGACTAACCAGAGATAACTCTTGCAAAAAAAAAACTAATAAAAGCCTGCAAGGTATTGTGTCAACAAAAAACTAGGTTGTGATTACCTGCATGTACTTTTAGAATAAGGCTATATGCAGTTAGGTTAAGGACGCCCATAGGAAATATATGCCTTAAAATATTCTGAGAAAATCAAAATAATGTTCATATCTTTTTTATTTGCACAAGTTTTAATTTAATGGGAATAGTACTAATGCATATGTATGTATGGGGTCTCAACCAAGTTTGGCCAAAGCGACTTCACATACATTAGCTGTTTGTCACGTGACATGGTTAAAATTAGAAAAAATATGATTGGATACAAAGATCCTAAAAGTTCAATGATATACCGATAATTTTTCACCCCAAAAGAAATTAATTGTGTTTTCTTCAAGACAAATTTCTTAACCCAAAAAGTGCTGGGAGCAACTTCCCCATGCCCGGGAATTATGTAAATTCAGCAGTCTTTGATAAACTTCGTGCATTTACACAATACACATTGAAATAATGTAAAATTACAGAAAAAATCATTCGCACACAAATTGCTCCCAGCACATTTCAAAACAGTAGGGACAATATGTACATGTGTACAAAATATTTATAGTTAAGGGGATATCGTTGAACTTTTGAAATTTTTGAGGGGTTGTCTCTGTGAAGAGCATGTTTGTGGCTTTATAAAAGACCAATTCGTTATCAATTTAATTAGACTGTGAAATATTGAATAATGCATTCAAAATATGACTCAATTTTATTCAGATCACACTTATTAAGATTTAATTTCACATTTACAAATTGCAATAATAGCTTGATCTGTGTCTCAAGTGCAGAGAAACTGAGTGTCAAACTAGTCTATGACGTCATATCTGTCGGTACAGTGAGATCAAGTTGGCTCTAAAGTGACAATGCGGCGCATCTCTTCAAAAACAGACTTGTTAAAATTTTCCTATAGGATTTGGAATTGTTTTCATACTTATAAATGTATACACTTTCAGAAAATTACAAATTTCATAAGTAAATAATTCTGATTATTTCATTAAAATTAATAATTATTTATGGTACATAAATATATACATCACAACGTGTTTGAGGTTCCACATTCCATGCTATACATGCATGGGTATAGTTTTCATAAACAAAACAGCATGGTAAGAGAGGGAAGCCCTCTACATTGACAAAGTCGACCAAAACAAAAAACAAAACTAAAAATCGGGCTTGAAATCAAAAAGCAACTTTCCTGACAAAAATTTAAATGGGAGATCAATATAATCATTGGATGAAGAAGAAACGGGATCTTGGCGACATTTACGTGGGGCTCGCGAAGGTTCTACCGTACCGGTTTGTTGATACATGCTATCATTTCTCGTATCTCCATGGCTTTCTAAGAAAAAAATCAGTGTAAACTCAACACAAAAATGCACTTATGGCATATAAAATTTATTGCCATTTGAAGTGCAAATTGTATTGGAACTGCAGAAAGATATTTTGTTTGACATTTTGCCGCGATGACGTATGATTTGGTGGATTTTCCTTTCCTGCACCCCAATACATAAAACGTCAACATTTGTACTTAAACACCCAATTTTATGTCAACGCCCCCAAAATCTACCTGATTCAAGATCAATAATTTACCACCAGCGGGCTGTCAATCATAAAAAAAAACAAAAGCTTCTGGTTTGATTGACAGGTCAGCTACCTGTGCTTCCTGATAATCTCAGTTTGCATGTTTTGAAAACAATTACCTGGTCACACGTCAAACTCTTTCATGTACCCGCATAGTATACACACGGGTTAGAAAACTCCAATATGTTTGAATTTTATTAAAAAAAATAATTGAAGTAGATTATTAAAACATTGACATTATAAAATATTTCTTTTCTATCTTCACTCCTGTTTGTTACTTGTAAGTGTAATATTGTCCACCTTATCTGTAGAAAAAAGACCGCGTCCACAGAAACCGGCTCTATTTGCCGTAATTGGAAGTCAGACAATTTAAATTATTTTTTTAGCTCACCTCAACGAAGTTGGGGGAGCTTATGTAATACCGTCGGCATCGGTGTCGGTGTCGGCGTTGGCGTCCCAGGTTAAGTTTTTTGGAGCAGTTTTCTTTTTAAGTACTTCTATGTCCTATATTGATTAGACATGCATGGAAGATGCTTCTAATGTGTTTCATTGTACCAGTCAAAGTTTCAGATGCTGCAATTTCAGCAAAGGAATGGCCAGGTTAATGTTTTTGGAGCAGGTTAACATTTTTGGTGCAGTTTTTGGTGCAGGTTTCATTTCCAAGTAACTATAAGCCCTATGTTGACGAAACTTGCATGGTTGATACATCCAAGGATGCATACTACTGGGCTTGCTTCGGATGCTGAATCTGACCTACATTTTCCGGATGAGTGAACAGGTTAAAGTTTTTGGTGCAGGTTTCATTTCCAAGTAACTATAAGCCCTATGTTGACCAAACTTGCATGGATGATACATCTAAGGATGCATACTATCAGGCTTTCTTCGGATGCTGAATCTGACCTACATTTTCCGTTGAGTGAACAGGTTAAATTTTTTTGTGCAGGTTTCATTTCCAAGTAACTATAAGCCCTATGTTGACCAAACTTGCATGGATGATACATCTAAGGATGCATATACCGGGCTTGCTTCGGATTGAATCTTACATTTTCCGGTTGAGTGAACAGGTTAAAGTTTTTGGTGCAGGTTTCATTTCCAAGTAACTATAAGCCCTATGTTGACCAAACTTGCATGGATGATACATCTAAGGATGCATACTATCAGGCTTGCTTCAGATGCTGAATCTGACCTACATTTTCCGGTTGAGTGAACAGGTTAAATTTTTTTGGGCAGGTTTTATTTCCAAGTTACTATAAGCCCTATGTTGACCAAACTTGCATGGATGATACGTCTAAGGATGCATACTACCGGGCTTGCTTCAGATCCTGAATCTGACCTACATTTTCCGGTTGAGTGATAAGGTTAAAGTTTTTGGTGCAGGTTTCATTTCCAAGTAACTATAAGCCCTATGTTGACCAAACTTGCATGGATGATACATCTAAGGATGCATACTATCAGGCTTGCTTCGAATGCTGAATCTGATCTACAATGTACATTTTCCGGTTGAGTGAACAGGTTAAAGTTTTTGATGCATAATTCATTTCCAAGTAACTATGACTTCTTTAATGACCAAACTTGCACGGATGATACATCTAAGGATGCATACTACCGGGCTTGCTTCAGATGCTGAATCTGACCTACATTTTCTGGTTGAGTGAACAGGTTAAAGTTTTTTGTGCAGGTTTCATTTCCAAGTAACTATAAGCCCTATGTTGACCAAACTTGCATGGATGATACATATAAGGATGCATACTACCAGGCTTTCTTCGGATGCTGAATCTGACCTACATTTTGTGGATGAGTGAAAATGTTAGTTTGTGATGAATGTATCATTTCCAATTAACTATGAGCCCTATAATGAGCAAACTTGCATGGACGATACATCTTAGGATGCACACTAATGGACTTACTTTGGATGCTGAATTCGACATACATTTTCAGATAATAGACAAGGTAAAAGTTATGGGTGCAGGTCAATTACCAAAAAACTTGAAGGCTTATATAACATTGTATAAACCAAACCAAACTTGCACAAATGTTGCATCAGGAGATGAAAACTCTCAAATTTGCTTCAGATGCTTAATTTTAATTACATTTTCATGAACAACTAGTTTAAATTTTTTATGTAGGTCTATTTCAATGTATTCGATCAAAATTGCTTAAATATTTTCATTTCTGGAATGTACACTTTTTGTTGGTTAATTGTGTGACTTTGCCTTACTTAAAGACAACATTCGTTGAGGTGAGCTCTGTAATCTCTGATTACCTATGTTTAAGAAATGGGATATAAGAAAAATATTCAGCACTAATAAACGGCATAGCATAGTTTTCAAAAGATGTTTTATTTTGTACTATGGCTACAATCCGCATGATGTTGTACAAAAATTGATGTCAGAATTAATCCCGAATTTCCTCCAGCGTCTGTATATATACGTAATGAAAAGGTGAAGATAATTAATAGTGATCGATTCTGAAGAGAAATCTTTCTAACAATAAAATTTTGTTAACACACGAAGAATCAAAAATATGGAATATTTTGGACAACATTGTTGGCCAGGAAAAAAAAAAATTCCGATCGCGGTAAATGCATGTTCACATGCACGAGGGATAGGTGGATTAATAATTTTTTTTTATTTCAATATTCAGACTTTTTAGTCTAGTGATTTCTTTTATTGAAGATTAAAAAAGATAA